TTTGGGATTTTCTTCAATTGAACTTTTGCAATTTGCTGCTCCGTTTTTTCATTTTGTTTTGCTCGCTTATGTTTAACAACACACATCATTGCCTGCTTCAAGCAAGAAAAGTTGAACAAGTTAAAATTTAAGAAAAATGACTTCAAATCATATGCGACCATGTTGGAACTATGATATTTAAAACTCATTAGTATTCTAGACTTTGTAAAAATTTTTTGCTGTTTTATAGATATATCTATTTTCCTGCAACGGGTTTCACAGCAAATAAGATGATGGGCATTAAGATCGCACTTAGTTTTTTTTTCCTAGACCATTAGCTAATGTTCGTCGTATTCTCAAGCGGCACATTTTGTGGAAGCTCTAAATGTATCGCATCAGGCTTGCGATATGAGCAAATAGTTTACAAAAAGTGCTCTTTGGCAAAGCACACGACGGGATTCTATGCGAGGCCAAAATAATTTCAACAATTTTATTGAAACTGAGTGATTTATGTTTCAATATCACCTAGAAAAACACACATATTTTATTAGAATTAGGCTGAATCATCATAATGCAAAATATCTCTCTAGTTAGCAACTCTTCTGTTTGCCTTTCCTTTTCTTTGGTCTTTTGTCTTTTGATGTATTCTTTCACACCTATTTCTATATTGCATATTCTTATGTTGTCTACCTCACCACAGATTGTGTTAGCTTTTGTGATTAATTCATAAGCATCACACAGAACAAAAAGTATGACATTTTTCAGCACCCAATCCAAACAAAGATATGTTTTTAAATCTCATTGAATGATATATAAGCCAGCACCAACAAAGCCTTTCATAAAACTTGACAAATGGATTCGGTGGATGCTCTATTTTGCAAATGTATTTTGGGTATTAAGGGATCTAAAGTCCCATTGTCAGTTTTTAGAGGCAATTAAAATGCCGCCTATTATTTTACGCGCCGAATTGAAACACTGGTTAGTCAGCCGAAATAATTCGCTTTTACCTCTTTTATTTGCTGTGATGGGCGAGTTTTTCTAAGGCTTTTGTTCTTAATTGTTATTAATCGACAATTAAAAACACGCGAAATCTTGAAAATATGGGTTTTGGATGTGAAAAAAAGGAAACTAATGAATATAATGAGCTAGTGAATAGCAGATGCAGCTGAATTTGTAATGTATAAATTTTCCGTCCAGATGATATATGAATAATACATGACTGAAGAGTTCAGGAACGAAAGGCCAGTTAAGTGTTGTTTTAAGAAAAGAAAATTCCAAATTTACTAGCATAGCAAATTTCAATGCTTTATTAGATTTTTGAACTAATTAACTTTTTGCCCTGGTTTTATGCAATATTCGACGGAAATTTATTTTTTATTCCTTGAGATTAACAAAAACGTGTAACAGATCGAAGAATAATAAGTATGTTACATGGAAGAAAAGCGAAACATCCCGTATTTTTGCAATAAAAACTACCCTTGATTTTCGTCTTTTTCTGTAATGCCCAATCTGGTTTCTTGACTGCATGGGCATTTTTCTCTCCATTGTTTTTCACATATAATACATAATGTACAGTGAGAGGACTGATTTACTTCAAGACATCCTGCTTTAATCAATTTCGTTTAAACCACATAAAGCGTTTTATATTACGTCTAACTCTTATGCAAGTTCATAGAGGCCTTCCAGAAGAACGAGCTGCTTTATCGATAGCAAACACAACTTCTTCTGTTAATTTTCTTGCATTATCTGAATGTTTCATTTATCAAATCTTGAGCCAATTTATTACGTGTTAAAAAACATATCTTGGACGTATTCTTCAAAACTCAATTATCAAATTAGATCGCCGAAATAGAAGGGCCGGAAAATTGCCTTCTCTGAAAAAAACTGATTTATTTCGTGCTGAGTGAAACTGGAGAATTGTAGTTATTTACAACACAGTTAGTACAGTAATTGAGTTTGCATTGGTGCTAATAGCGATCAAAATATTAATGGCTCTAATGCAAGAATTAAAGTATTGTAAATAGAGAGAAAAAGCTAAAAATAACAGTTTTAGGGCCAACCTGTCATAAATTTAAACCAAAAACAAATATATATTAGATAAAACCACTTTGTCGGAAAAATTTTAACTGCCAGTACAATCAATCATCATTTGGAACGGTTTCTTGTATTACACCAGTCCTAGGAACGTTTCTATCGCCCTAAAAACTTGTTTTTCCCCTTATCTGTGCCGATAAATCTCAACAAATGAAGCTGAGCTCGCAGCGCCATTCAGTTCGAAATATTAGAGCGATTCCTTCTGATTTTATTTATTACATTTCAGTCTTTTCAAGATTCCCATAATGAAATTTGATACCGGGAAGCCTGGGGTGATTGGATTATTGACGTGTGTGAACTGTTTCTATACTAAATCGACTAAATCCGATGATCCACTGCAAATATGCCGAAAGCGACATTTATTTGCTGGCCAATAAATGTTTGTGAATATTTTGCTTGCTTTCATGTTATTTGATAAATATTATTTTGACATTGTGAATAATTTAAAAAAACAATGGAAATAAATTAGTGGTCTTTAAACATTGCTCTTTGGTATTGTGGGCATATATTCGTGATCCCAGGAAATTAGTGTATAATTGCGAATGTTATTTTTGTCAGTTTCGTAAATTGCTTCATAATTTATCGGTTGTTTGTAAAAACGGTCGGTATCGGTAATTTTTACGCATTTTCTATTGAAACGGATAATCGACAATCGACCAGCCGTGTTGTATAGCAAACGAAAACATCGTAAAAAGGTATGCGGCTATCGGAAGCTGCAAGTAGAATCCAGTTAATATTTGTGCATAGTTTAAACACTTAATATAAAAGTATGCCCAAAAGAATGACTGATAATAAAAAATAATTAAATTATAGCATTACAAACGATCAAATTCACCTGTTCGGCACGTTACTAGTGATTGTTTTACCCTTTTGCCATTACAGTTTCTTAGGTCTCTATTGCAGAAAGAAATATTTTAAAATGTTTAAAAGGAACTTTCTGGATTCAATACTTATATGAAATAGGCGAGCCCTAAGAATTATTAACTATTTCATTTTCCAAAAACATCAAATTTCTTTTAGAAAAACAGCTCTATCTTCATTGCACAAGGAGAATTACGCTTGTTTCAAAAAGAGGAACTAAAGCAAATAATTGTATAAAGTTTTTATGGGGCTGTAACGATTGCTGTTGTTTAAACTTACATTTTCGTGAACGAAAAATATTTTTGAACAATCGACTTTTTACAAGAATTATAGATTCTTCTAAATCTGAAGTAATTTACGAGAGTATTATTGAATCCACTTTAATCACCGCTGTTGCATGTAAATGTAATTGTCGTGTTCATATTCCTTGTAAACAAATTATAAATATGCCAAGACGCGATCATTTTTGTGCATAAAATTAATAAACTTATAGAAGGAAGCAAAATAAATAGTCCAATGTCTACTTTACAAGAAATAAACTATAAGAGGTCGAACTATCCTCCTATATTTCTGAACGCTTCAAAGTTATGAGTTAAATTTCCAACGTTTGGTTTCGATTTAACCACTTTTACCTCCTCAGAGGGACCTCCAAAATACTATATTTTTTTCAATTCAATAAAAAATTACAATATCCAGTTCATCACTATAATAATAAGGCTTCTCTAGGACGGCGTTTCACAAAGCGGCTTTCCGATTTTATGAGTATTTTTCCAATCAGTGCCTAACAGAAAATCGCAAATCCTCACTGAAAATTCCCCTCCACGCTTTGACGATGATGTATTGGAAATTGATAATCCCAAATTAATAGGTAGATCGTTGACAGTGTTCGATTGTAACAGAGAAGTGTTAAAAGGCTGTTAAATCAGCGATGTGTGAATCGTAATTAATTGAAGCTATAAATTCGGCGCGTCTACCAGCTATTGTCCTATTTTCACTGTTATTGGCCGAATGTCTCACTAAAGCCAAGTTGGAAACAGAGAGAAAGGCTTTATATTGCGATTACTAATTTGTACGCTTAACACAATCTGAAGCTGGACAATTGCATAGTGAGATGATGTTTGATGTCTTTTCAGGTGCGATACGCAATGATTGGAGTGCTACGAAGAACCAAGCCACGATAAGAACTGCAATCATGAAAAATGCATCCAGAAAAACTCTTGGGGAGTTGCTGCATCTGGCTGGTGGTCATTTGTGCACAAATGCCTGCAGCTTTCGGTTTGCCACCTGTTGTGAGAATTGGTAAGTTTACACTAATCAAATGATTATGATCTCATTCGATCTGATTATCCATAAAGTTGCAGTAAACTCTAAATTGCCAACCGTTCTTAATATTTTAGTAGCGTTACTGACCCCCAAATTATCTAAACTTATTTTCTTCTCAATCACTCTATTTCTTAATACTAAATATCGTCATAATTATAGTTGATGAACGCAGCTTAACAAAATGGGTTTTCGTCACCGTTGCTCGGTGTGTAAAACTTCGAAACATGCCGGTTCATATTGGATTTAATTAGTCGTTTTAAGTCTAATTGCTACAATAAGATTTGTTTAAGAGCAGTGATCGGCAGTTCATGAATGAAAAAGAAAATAATTAAATTGTATTGCTTGATCAAGAAACTGTGCAGGTTATAAACAGCTAAAAAAAGGCCAAAGAACCTGTTTGAACCACCAACATTATATAGAAGGTTTGTCTTACTGATGTTTCATGATGAATTCAATCGAAGCATTGCACTTACCCTTACTGACCGATGCTAAGGAAATCTAATCTAACCCAAACTAATCGCCTCAAGATCTGAATTGCAAATTAAGATAGAGTTTATGTTAGAAAATTATCACTGTTTCTTTTGGGGCAGTCGCCCAACAAACACAATCAAATTCAGAAACTTATTATAAGAAATGTCCTTGTAGAAAGCTAATTTACAAGTTAATTTTCTTTTTAATCGCTTTTTGAGTCGTGCAATTTCAATCTTGAGATAGCGACAGAGGGGCCACGTGGACTTCAATTTAAAGCCAATTTCTATTAGTGCAAGCTAACAACTTTTTATTATTTTTTAATCAAAATTTAAGACCTTGATTGCTTGGAATGCAAGTCTGCCTTTCCGGCCCCTAATAGTTATTGCAGATGGGAATAAATACAAGCAGTTGGTTGGCCTGCTAAGTCTCCCGATCTAAACCCTTGAGATTTGTTGCCTTGTGCTTTAGAGCATTAGTAGATTGTCACACAGTGCGAATATCTGATACACTTTCAGCATTAGAGAAGTTTCCAAACATGAAAGTTTCTCTTGAGGAACAGCATGTTCCTGTTCTACATCCCAAACTTTTTTGGCCTGAAAAACTTTCTTACGTGCGCTGATTAAAAAACTGCATAATGCATTATGGAAAAACTCAAAATTTAACTGTTCAAGACTGATGTCTGAATGGTACAGGGTGACGTAAAAATCATGGTTATTGAAAACACAAAGGCACATTTACCCGAGTTTGTCATGTTTTTAAGTTAAGCCGCAAATCAGCGCGTTCCATGTTGCAATTGTACTGTACATTTGCAAGTGAATACTTACATTCTCTCGTAAAATTCGAGATTGGCGAGCTGACAGTGGGAGAAAATTATACGGAGTCATAATATCATGAATAAGCAAAGCAGAAGCATCCATTTCTATTTGCATGACATTAATAATTAAGTAGGATTAGCAGTGGGGCAAATGTTGTTTTAGGATGAAAACTGACTACTTGTTGAATTGAGTGCCTTTGTTTGCGTCAGATTTTAATCATGCCCGACAGGATGTCGGTTTATAAGCGTGGGTCTACCTTTGCAAGGAAACCAGCTGCAAATCCCTTTTAAGGAGCTTCTGGTGGCGCTGAATAGTAATTACTTAATCTGGTATTAAATATATGCGCGTGTTAAAATTTATATCCGGATTCATCTTCGATTAGTTATGGTTTAATACACGGCAAATGATGAGTTGTTTATCGAAATAATCGGCTGTAAAATGGCTAGCTTAAAGGAATCTAGCTGTTATAAGTAGAAAATACCAGCTGAACCATTTTGGTTTAGTCCATAGAAGAGTACAGTTAATCGTGTGAACCAATCCCGTGATTACAAGTCTTTTTAGCATACATACACGCCATATAATTTCCAAAAAATTTCAACGTTTGAAGCAAACTGCTGCTTAATGCACTCTCCATTAGCAAAGATTTATTTAACTACAAATTACTATCCACTAACAAAATTTTCAACTTAAGATTTGTTGAAATGTGTGATAACGATTCAGTTTTGATTTTATTCAAGACTTCTTCTGAATGCATATAAAATTGTCATTGCGAATGCAACCCTCGTACACATCCCCGGCTTGCCTAACTAGCCTGGGACAGTGTAAACTTGCTGGCTTCAATTATCCTGTCGAATAGAGATTGAGTAGCTCCAGGCGATCAGTTTACCATTAGAAAGACTGTCCAAACAAGCTCTTTAGGAGAACGAACGTTTTCGCTTTGTATGTACAAAGCCATTGAAATGCTTTAACCTAGATATAAAAATGCGACGTATTGAAATGCTTGTAATTTTATTGCAGGGGCAATTTTCACGGAAAATCAAAAGGGAAGTGCCGCAGAAGTGGCGTTTCGGTATGCGGTGTACAAAATTAACAGGGACAAGAACTTACTTCCTCACACATCCCTTGTGTACGACATACAGTATGTCCCTATGGACGACAGTTTCCACGCCAGCAAAAAGGGTAGGTGAATAACATCTTTTAAGGGGGGCATTTACTGTTATTTTCTACTTGTACGACTTGTCCGGAGGATGAAATGGGAAAATATGCCTTTACATATGCATCGCTTCCAATATGCGCCAGACTGTTTCAGTGGCGCCTTAAAAGTTTATATAATATGGATTATTTAAACCCTATTCAACAAGCAAGATATTATCAAGATCAAGTGCTGAAAATTAATTGCATTTTTTGATAAAACGTATTTAAACGATTCGGAACTTATCAAGTCGGAAAAGTTCTTTTGCTCTCAAAAGTTTGGTAATTTTAAGCACTTCAACTTGAACAAGCATGTGTTTTCTAAGCTTATTTTTCAAGGAGCCATTATTGATGCTTGAAAACTATTGTTGGAAGTTGAAGAATTAATATAATAAACTAAATAATACGTCATGACAAAACCAAGTAGTGGATTCCAAGAAAACGTAATAACAAAGTCATCAGAACAATGCCAAGTAAAATAAACACCCAACACAAAATCTTTTGATACAAAAATCTGCAAAATATCATTGTAAAGAATTTCATTCATTGGCCCAATAGGGCTGAACTTTACTGTTTACTGACTGTGGTCACACTTTAGTGGAGAAAAATGTTGTTCTGAAAAAACTTGTTTCAGATGAATTTCAAACATTCTCTGACCGTTGAAAATGCAGATAGCAAAACGAAAGCTACAACTTTTCGTACAAAGACTCACGGTAAAGTGAAGTTCTTTGAACAGGCAATTTCGACTCTCTTTGAGACTAAATGATTACGGAAACACTCATAATTCTCAACCCATTCCAACGTTAAACCGCATATTTGAACTTTTGTAATTGCGTTATTCTGGCCATGAACATGCAAATTGCACTGTATTCACTTTAAACCTAACTTTCATCTGCTTACCAAAATTCAAAGTAATTTTTTTGTGTCCTAACTTTTACTATAAATTACGAATATGGAATCCAAACTTTATCGATTATCCAAACAAATATTGAACTCAGACAAGGTAATTCTGTAACCAGTTCAGTTTCTTCTAAACTTCGTCAAGCGGATCAAAGCGGTTTTTTTCTTTCAACTCTAATTTTTCCAATTAGAATTTTTTGATTATTCGAAAATTCCAGCTGTAATTAAACAGTGATTCTCGTAAATCTATTACAAGTAAACATAACGATTGGTACATATATTGTTTGAGCCAAAAATGTATTTCGCAAGTTCAAAAGAGCTTTTCAATATCGTCAATGTATATTTAGTTTATGAGAAAGAAAAATAAAAAAACGAGGTCGATAATTGAGGTCGCCACTATAAACCAAGCGTGAAACCTTTCACAGAAAAATAATGTTTAACACCCAATAATAATTTAACATTCTGAAGTTACTGATCAATCAAGCAAACTCAATGATGCTCAGAAGGTAGTTTGAAACTTATTGAAAATTTAATCTTCCTGCAGGCAGGATTGCTCTAGTTTTCAAATGTCTGCGTTTAGCATTAAAAAATCAAGTATGTTGTACAAATTATGTTTTGATCATTATTTTTGTTTGTTTTTCATATGTATAGATTTTATTTAATATGGGCCATATCATACGGTTGCTGCGTTTTCCATTCTATTGCATTTCAAAATATTTGTTAACCTATTATTTGCTTTCAGTACTGAACACAACCAGAACTTTTACTGGTATAAATTGCAAATTTGTTTTATTTTTGTTAGCGTAAATAAACTCCGCAGATAGCAAAGTTCCGATTATTTAACTGAATTTTACTGGCTAAATGAACATTTATTTATATTAGTTACAAACGTCCAAGAACCATTAATTATTCTATTCGATCGTAATTTACACCCAAACGTGAGCTCATTTAAACTCGAAATTTTTTGCATTTGCTGTTTGAAAGGGTTAAAATATTTTTACTAACTCACATTAAATTACAGTCGAATCGATTTCACCTTTCATAACCAAAACTTAATGAATAATACTTAATAAAACAGTCCAATATTACGACAATTTAACCGAAAAACTCCAAATCAATCGGGCAATTTGAGCTGGTTTCCAAATAACAACCAATCGTTAATGGGCGATTTAATATGGCTTGAATTGTACATTTTTCCACCCATTATATGCTCTCAATGTATATCAAAAGACAGTTGGGTGGATATTTTTAAAAGGAGATAATGGTTGAAAATATCCAGAAAAAACAACAACTCACAAGAAACCTTGCATGGCACCCTCAGCGGTAACAAATAAAAAATTAATGATTTTGTGACCCTAGGTTGACTTCCAACAAACGACTTTGTCGCATACTTAATGGGCAAATAATGCGCCACAAGTTCCATGACAAGGAAATCTTTTGGTTCATTTATCTTTTCGTGAGCCTTAATTTAGTTTTAACCGATCCATTCGATTTAAGACGATGCAGCCAATGAAGGAAAATAGACAAAAGTCCATTTTTATTTTCATCATTTGGATGGTATAATGTATTTAACGTAGAAGCTAAAAAGTCAATTTTTATTGCTTCATTAGCCCACTTTGCTAGTAACACACCCTGGAACATACACATAGTGAAAGTGGCAGGTAAATCACGAGAATGCATTCAAGGAAGCAAAATAAATCTGTTTTTGACCGTCCAGTGGCACTTTACAAATGACTCGAAGACCGTGTTGGCCATACCTAATAGTCAAGACATTCCCATCAATTTATCATTTTGGTGGAAAGAAAGCTCAACATTTTAACTAGAATAAGACAGGCTTATCGGTTTCCAAGTGAACTTTATGATGTCTTTTTCAACAATTTTTTTTCAACAATTTAAACGAATGAAAAAATCTACATAGATCAGACGAGTACTAAGTTTTGCGAATTCAAGATGCAAGTCGTCCAAGATATTTGTCGGTGGGCCACCCTGTACATCATGGTCGGCAGTATCGCTAAAGAGAATTGATCGTTAAACAGAATCTCATTAAAATATTAATTAAAATTGGCAGTATTTGCAATTTAATTGCTAGAGAGCTAAATAGTATTAACAAAATAGAAATAAAATGCGAAAACATGATCCCTTTGCATGCTGCATATCTGCAATTTCATTACAGCAACAATACGGGTTTTTGTTGGCAGTAGAAACAAAATAATATAATTATTAGAGTTGCAATTGGTACTTTTGCAGCAATTTTCCCCGTACTGAAAACTCGTTTAATAATAGCCCGTAAGGGAACTAAACGATGTCGCTGTAGTAAAAGACGTTTATTTAAATTGCTTTGCAGGCAGGCATTCGCATAATTTTTGCCTCTCAGTTGATATCGTGGTGGTTCAGTTAGAGCACTTAAAGTCCACCAATATTTTTTGTAATATCGTTTTTATCTTCAGTTCTTCTCAGACGAGCTGTTGAAAAGTTTCAGGTGCCAGTAATTCCATAGAAGCTGGTTCGATCTGCCTCAAAACCTCCCTATCAGGGACGTTAAAGAACGGCTCTTTGAGTGCATAATTTAATACATTTTTGCCGTTTAATTTTGAAATTCCCCGTGGCTTTAATTACGTTCCCTTTGTAATCTTCCTCGGCATTTTTCCTTTTTATACACTTATTCGTGGTGCATTAATACTGTTCAATAGATTTTCGATGAACTTTCGATGGAATTCCGATCCGATCAAAATTTCATTCGTTGCAAAGTCTATTGACTAATCCGATGCCATATTGAAATTGAGCATTTCTCTTCGGGCTGTGAATGGAATTTATACTTTTCGATCTGTTTTCTGTTGCTCTATTGTCCAATAAGGCTAATTTAATATTGCGTTGAAACCATATGTATCTGCTATTGGAATGTATGCATGAATATTTGGAACATATTGATAAAATAAACTGAGAAACAAAGGTTTCCGGGCGTTTTTATCACATATCGAATAAGCCTGAAATTCGAAGCTGCAAAAGGTTGTAGACAAATTTGTGCAACGCTGTTAAGGAAGCGACTGTTCCAATAAAATTTGTTTTGTAATTTTTCATGGAAAATACCTGCAGTAGTCAGTGTCAGTATTTTTAAGTAAAACTGAAAAGAAAAGAGTTTTTTGCGTAGAAACAATTTCTTAATAAAAACTTTGAAAAAACTGGAAAAACTTACTGGAAATTTTAAAGGATCTCTAAAAGTATTCAGAGCGATGAGAGTGGCGAGTTTTCCAAATAATTATTTGGAAACTCTTGCTCTTTCTCCGTTTTTTTTCAAGGTAATCTTAATTACTTTCCGAAAAAAACTAAATAAAATTATCCGGTTTTTGTGGCAAATTTGAAGCTGAAAAGGGCTTCCTGAAATTCCCTGCAAAGCAAATAAATCTTAGAATAACTAAAAAAGGGTCATGAACATGTGTGAACACCGGTGCGTTGGGTTAGTTTGGGTAAAAAACGAATTTACTTCTCATTAAAGACACAATACTACTAACAAAAAGCTAAAACAACCCGACTAACAGTTGGTTCAGTTAACACTTTTAAAGGTCCAAAAGCGAGCGTCACTTTTTCCACCCAAATTGATTAACCTAGACCCTGATGAACCTAAAATTTTCAATCAATTCCCCAGTAATTTCCGACGTTATCTCCCCGGAAAGTAATTAATCCACGGACGTTACCAAACGCCATCTTTATAGAAAATCGGATAATTAAGGCGATTAAATTCTAGTTAATTGCCATGTCGTAAAAGAAAAATTTGTTCCAAAGACCGTAGGCATAAATTCACTATTCAATTAGTTGTGTGATCCATTCACCACATTTGAAATGCTTTGCAAATTGAACCATGGACAAATGGCGATCAAAAAGATGAAGATGAAATTGTGAAAACATTTATTCACACATGATTAATATTAGTATCCGTAGCTACAATTTTCATGCTGGAATTCACCAAGCAGATCAGAACAAATTCACATGGTTCTTCATCATCGTCTGGATGAAAAATCAGAATAACATTAGCTACAGATTTAATGATTGTGGTTGTACATTTTGATGCATCGCAATAATGCGTTAAATTTCCCTTTTCTTTGAAAGAGCTTTTGTTGCAAGACGCAACATGCAGTGCAATATTTGATTCCAGCATGCGACCAGGTGAACAAAGGCGTATATGCAGTGTTTGGTCCTTCCGATCCTCTGCTAGGCGCTCATATTCACTCCATTTGTGATGCTCTCGATATTCCCCATCTGGAGACTCGAGTTGACTTGGACAGCGACTTCAAAGAATTCTCAATAAACTTGTACCCGTCACAAAACATGCTGAACCAAGCATTTGAAGATGTGATGGGATTCTTGAATTGGACCAAAGTGGCCATTATATATGAGGAAGATTACGGTAATACATCTGAATACTACTGGGCTGGCAGACCATCATTGAAAATTTGTTTTAGGATTGATTAAGCTTCGCGAGCTGGTCAAGGCGCCCCATAATCGCAATCTGGAAATTCATCTTAGACAGGCCAATCCACAATCATACAGGGCAGTGCTGAATGAGATCAAAAGCAAAGAAATTCATAGTATCGTAATTGACACAAAGCCATCGAACATGCAGCTGTTTCTAAAGGGGGTAAGTTCCAAGCCATCCATCTGCAATATGCAATTGCTGTTCCGTTCAGTTCTACTGTACTGGATGTGAAGATTTAAGGTTCTATCCAAAGATAAATCAAAGAAGCAAACTTTCCTCAAAGTCTGGCAGCTCTACGACGGTTTTCGACAATGTAATAAAATTGAAGTTAATTAAGAAACGCTTCGTATACTGATTTGAAAAGTTGCTTCTCCGCATAATTTAATAATTTTAATTATGATTTGATGTAAACCAGACGCGTAGCAGCTATAGTAATTAAACCGATAGGTATTTGCTGACTAATGCAGCAATATAAAGCTAGTAAATGTGCAAAAGAATGCCATAAAGATATGTCTTGAATGGAGAATCAACGAGCCTTGTGAGCTGCTTAAAAGCGATCGCATCCTCGACACGATACTCGAGGAAGGGCGAAAAGCCATAGAAAAGACCGTGTAGGCCATTGTCGTATGGATGACTTGCCTAGTCATGTATGGATGGTATTAAATTTCCAGTACGGAATAAATCGGAAAATTTCCATTCGAGCTGGATAATGGAAAATTGCAGTTTAAATCTCTATCTACTAGGCAAAGTGGACCATTCCAATGTGCATTTTCTTGGCTACATTAGCAAAATGTTTTTTAAGCACTTTTGTTGGTTTGAATTAGGATTTTCCTGGAAATTTGCATTTTTAAAGGCCCTTTTAATTTTGTTAAGCGTTTTGGTAGGTACCACTAGGAACTGATAACAATCCCCGAACAGCAGGATCTGCAGTCTTTCGGTTAGTGGTTGATTTCAGGCACTCAAGATGATAAAACTCAAAGGAACATTTTCTAAATAAACTAAAATAATATAGAAAGTTGCAAGCCACCGCACAATGGAAGAACATTAGCCGTTGCGCCGAAGTGAGTCCGAACTTTCGAAAGAAATTGATGTGAAGTGAGCCTTAATTTCAAAAGGAGTTACATACATCTCTCCTATTCAAAAAAAAATTACTTAAAATCTTCCTATGAGCATCAAGATGAGGTTTAAACATTCTTCAAAAAACTGACGATGTGAAATGGGGATATGAAGTGAAATTGAACTGTTTTCTGGGGAATTGCCCATTTTTGTCACAAAATTTGAAAATGTTCATGCGTTTTTGTTCAAGAGTTTCGTGTTTCCGCAGTAAACTCCAGTCATTTTAGGAGGGACTGAATGTATTGCTGGAAATTTTCTTATATAGTTTTTTGCGAATATCTCTGTTTCTTCTGTACCCTTTACACAGCCTCAGGCAGCACCTTCTTAGAATTGAAGCCTATCTTGAATCACCCTGTGTTAGTTGCACAATTATGCAAAATCTAAAGATCGATGAGCTAGAATTGAAAGCAAAGCTTCGGTTCTTAAAGCCAATGTGAATAAATTGAAGATTTTCCAACTGAAAATGAAGCAAATTAAATCGAACCAACGCGGTTTAAGAAAAACGTTCCTCTTCATTTGTTGTAGATTTTGCAACTGCAGATGAACGACTACAAGTACCACTACATCTTCACGACTTTCGACATCGAAACATTTGACCTGGAAGATTTTAAATATAATTTCGTCAACATGACCGCCTTCAGAGTGGTGGATGGGGATCAGGTTTTTGTCAAAGAGGTTCTAAGAGACATGGCGAAGTTTCAAGCCAATCAGGAATTGACTCTAATTAATAGCAGCTATATACAGGTAAGGCTTATACATTTTCCGTGCCTTATGTAGACTGATATAGAACAGACATTCGAGAAAGGCAAGGTTTAATGTCACACAAAAGATATAAAGAAGCGAAATTATTAATCATCAGACCTCTGAAAAATCGACTACAGCTAATCAGTTTGATTTTGGGCGAAGAGAAATGATCCTGCTATTACTTTACGGATTCAAACCGGTTGTTGAACAGTAAAGTCAATGGATTTTCGAGTTTGGGCGTTTATGTAGAAAAAAAGACAACAAAATCAACATTATCAATGGATGTAATTACAGTTTTCCCAGGATTTATGGCTCCACCTTCTACATAGTAAATGTATCGAAAGGGAGAACAAAAACTGGCCCGCGAGGAAGTTCACAAAGTTTCTAGACGCCACAATTCAGACTGAGGAATGTATTCCAAGTTTGGAAACTTCGAATAGCTCTGATGAAGTTTTCAATGCAATTGCTAGGGTTCGAACTCTATATGGGATGCTATCTTTAATGCTGTCATCATTAGTTCACTTTGAGCTTGATAAAGCAGCAAAGATGTTCATTACAAACATACAACGTGCAAACTTGCGGGTAGGCAAGTTTGTTTTTAATGAAGTTATTCAATGCATCTGGATCTTGCAAAAATCCAAAGTTTCATTAATAAGCACCAAACATTTTCCTAGAAGAATAAATGAATTTTCCAGTTTAGTATTTTTACTAATATAAACTTTCGTGCGATTAAAACACATTCTTACATGTCGCTCAAGAAAGCGCAAATAAATCTTAGACATACGTTATGCTGAGCTCAATTCGAGTACTTAGGGAAAAGTAATTCTTAGTTTAGTGTCGATTATATGAAAAATTTTACGACCAATAGAACTTCGTAAGTACACAAGCTCGAGTCTGTTGCGGTTCATATATAAAGCGAATGACTGTAAAACTTATACACGACCATCCCAAACTTGTAAAATCGGGATCATCGGACGGAATTTTTAAGCCGTCGAAGTTTAATGTCGAGTTGTTCGCTCAATTTGAACTTTTGACGATGGAATAGATCCAGAACAAACTGAAATCGACGGAAAAATGCTTAAAACGTATTACCTAATATAAGCATACAACAAATACCCAGAATTAAAAATCTAAGGACATTGAAGAAGATAAAAATGGAGTCTTAGTATAAAATAGGAATGTGGTTTGAAAAATGACAAACATTGATAAATGCTTTAAAGGTTTGTATTCACTCCACGTTTTAATCCCAATTTTTACGCTCGACTATCTACGTAACTTCTATTAATTTATGGTTTGCCTTTCCGGATTGTTGGCGAAGTTCTTGCACCATCGCTCTGCATAAAATATTACACTTTATATAGAAGAATCGAATGCAAGGAGTACTTCCGGAAAATACCACAAAAAAGTATAAAATTCGATTCAAACCTAAAAAAGCTATGTGAGATTTAAATTGAATTATAATTTTCGCCTCCAGTTTTGCCTAGTTTTCGTCGTCTTCAGGTGGGAGTAGATCTACTTCGTTTGATGAGTTTTCATATTCCGACTCAGCCCCTAAAATAGCAAACCTTCCATGGTTTGATCAAATTTTCATACTTTTAATTTGCCAGAAGCTTTTACTATAGTTTAATTTTATTTGATTGTGATTTGTCCATGTTGCCACAGGTGAATAAGAGGTTTATGTTCAATAATCAATTTCAGTTCTCTAATTTATACAAACAAAACTTTGCCTCGTTTGTTGATTAAAAGCAACATAAGATTATTAAATAATAAATTTAATTAGACTCCGGTGTTTTTGCAGGCTGAAGCAGCGTTTATGTACGACTCCGTTTACGTATTCGCAATTGGACTTCAAACTCTGGAACAATCGCATACTCTTAAATTGACCAACGTCTCTTGCGACAGAGAACAGCCATGGGATGGAGGATTGAGCTTAATAAATTACATTAATGCCGTAAGTACGAAATTCGTTCCCCTGGACCTGTTAATATTCAAGCTAATAATAACGTCAACCGAAAATTGAAAAGAAAATTAACTTTCCGTTCTGGTATTAATCGAATTGCGATCCCTGATCAAGATACGAAGTAATCCGATTTCGTTTATTCGATCACTTTGACCGACTAAAGCGCAATAAAAAGTTTTCTGCTAATTGTTTTATTTCTCTTTCTGATTAAAGGAAATAATATTGTTCCTCGATGAAAATGTCGTAGACTATACTGAAATTAAGTTGAAGCCATAGCTGTGAACAGCGCCCATTATAGAGGCTGCGCTAGGTTTATTTCCAGTTTAATCCAATCTCTAGAATAACCTTAATCCTCCTGCTGAGAGTGTGAAGCGTATTGTCGTTCATAGTTAACAAGCTACATTAATTATGTGTTTGCAGAGTGGAGTCAATTTATGCGGTTAGGAGCTTTTAACTTAGCGTTAGATCAACATTAACGAATAGGGTTGACAAAATGAATTACGCAGTTTTTAGTGGGAATAGTGAAGGCATAATAAATCGCAAAGGTGTTATTTATCCAATTAATTCGCTACATCTCAAAATTGCACGCAACAGTTCATGCAAAATGCTTTTAAGCGAGGCGCTATTGTGGCAAACCTTTCTTTTTGTTGTCAACAAGTCGAAGGGCAACTTTCTCTTTAGCCCGCAACTGATACTACTGGATTTGGCTACAAAGCGACACCTGAGGAAGTCAAATTGAATACGATTGCGAATAATAACCAACTAAAAAGGAAAATTCAAAGGTAAAACGCGTGTTCGAAAAAGGCGATAAAGAAGACCAAACGTCTGGACGAAGACGACGAGTTTTTTTGTAAAATCGATCTCTTCATTTTTTCCAAAAGACTTTGGGTTTGCAAGTATTTTACAGTGAAATGTTAGATAAAAACGCGTTTATCTGTTTAAAGACAGTTTTGTTGAGAAATATTGACCTAAAAGTGAAGAAATTGGAATTTAAAAAAATTTAAAGGATCTTTAAAAGAATTCAGAGCGATGAGGGTGGCGATCTTTGCAAATAATTTTTTGTAAACTATTCGCTCTCTGGTCGTTTTATTCAAGATAATGTTAATTACTTTCGGTAAAAAACGGCATCAAATAATCAGCCTTTGTGCCAAATTCGGAGCTGAAAACGGTTTTCTAAAATTCCCTTTTTTTACAAACTTCTTTTTGGGTATTTGGCCTCAAAAATTTTTGTCTTTAATAAACACAGACAGAATTTCCTCATGTCTTTTATTACAGATTGATAAATAGTGCTCCTATTTCGCAATAAGAACGAATTATTTATCAAAAAGTAATCAAG